ACTAATTTAAAATACACAAAATGATTCAGACACAAAAATGTCTTGACCGTTTAGTAAGAATGATTTGTTCATCCATATTATTTTAGTAATATATTTGGATTTATTTTAACTTAATATAGGTTTAAATACACTAAACCCCTCCTCTGCACTATGGACTCCGGCTACTAAAAGGTCTAAGTTCCTCATCTCCAGACCGACAAAAGAATCTCGATTCCTCAACATCTGAATACAAACCCATGGGGGAGTTACAAACCTCCATGATAAATGAACTGATCGTAAAAGCCATTAACAGTCAAGCTTTCATAGGGGTGTTTGCTCCTCTCATTGCTTCGGCAATTACCCCCCACATTCAGGTGATAGGTCAGAGTTGCATTCAACCAATTTTGAGTAACATACAAGAACAATTAACAAAAAGATATAGAAGATCAAAACGAACAAATACAATCACTAAAACAAATCAACTCTGATCTCCAACAAAGGGTGGATGACCTTGTTTGCGGTCTGGATAATCTGGAGCAGTACAGACGCAGAACGTCATTACGTTTCCACAACGTACCGATACCAGCTCCAGGATGAGAGGACGTGGAGGAGGTGGCCCAGGATACTCATGCTACAGTGATCAAAATATGTGAAGGGATGGGAGTTACCATCAGCCCCGCTGACATCAATCGATCACATCCGATTGGAAGATCAAACAAAAATAACAAAATACAATTTATCTGTAAATTCCATAGCTGGAAAATAAAAAACAAAGTGTACAGTGCCAAAAAAAAACAAACTAAAAAACAACGCCAAAAAATTTTCGTCACAGAAGATCTAACTAATTATAGACAATCAATCGTGTCGAAAATTATCCAAGCAAAAAATGCCAAAGTTGTACATAGCTTTTGGACATACGATGGCAGAATCTATATTAATTTTGAACTTAAGAGGAGCAGATTCGAGGTGACACCTCTAGAACAACTTGAGTATCTATTTAATCGTTAATTATGTGATAAATATTTGTACTTATCTTACAGGTAAAATCCCCCGCCCCTTTGACAGTCAATGCACCTACATGTATTGCAGTTGTCCACTGCTATAAAACGTAAATGTAAATTTCATTATAAGGTAATAATCAGTTTAAACATATAATAAGCAAAAACTCCCACTTACTCTCCTTAGTTACACAATGTCATTTGTGTTTCTCTTAGTGATCAGTCTCTTTGTACATATTTCAGTTTTGACTGAATCACTTAGACTACCTTTACGGTATCTATTCCATTTTTTGTCAGAATGTTTTCCTTTTTTCAGTATTGTTGTTTTCTGTTTATTTTTATTTTCTTTTCATCATGTGTTCACAGTTTTGTTATCTACTGCAACCAAATCATGGGCTTTTGTAACAAGCTTTTGTTCATTATTCTCTGTTTACTGTTTTTTTTAATTATGATTACATCTGTAATGGGTTTCAGTTTCTCTAGTCAATATCAAGGTCTTTATGTTTGCAATATTCAAATTTGCTGTTCTTTGCGGCTTTATTTTCCTATTTTTTACCAACCCAAAACATTAGTTATTACCGATCATGGGTAATACTCTTGAACAATATCGAGCCGCAATTGGAATTTTTTTACCTCCAAAATAGATGCACATTCAAATCCATGAATTACTGTTTTTTCAGATTTGAATATTTAGTTTGGTTTTTGTGGAAAGCTTACCAATTTTGTAAAAAAGAAAATTCAAAGTTTGTATGAAACATGCAGTATATTTTCAGCATGTCAATTTTCTTTTTCAACTTACGAGTATATAATTAATGCTGTCTGGTGATATTGAATCAAACCCTGGGCCTACAAATAACACTTTCCATACTTTAGATATTTTTCATATAAACATATAAGAAGTATAAGAAACAAAATTGAAAATTTAATATCATTTGTCAGTGATTATCACATTTTGTGTTTTACTGAAACACATTTAGATGCAAACATTGATGATAATGCTATTTTGATTGATGGATTTTCTACAATTTTTCGCCAAAATTGTAACTCATATGGAGGGGGTACCCTGATTTATGTATCTGATTCACTTCGAGCCTTAAGACGCCCTGACCTTGAACCTTTGAACACGGAATGTATATGGGTAGAAGTTAGCGACCCTATAAGTAATATTTACCTTTGCTGTCTATGTAATAGTAAGATCATATGAAGAGAAATCTTCGTCATGAAGAATGGGCGGAGCGAAGCGGAACCCATTCTTCGTGACGAAGATTTCTCTTCATATGATCTTACTGACTTAGAACAGAACCCCAGCTAATGAAATGAATGAATCGAAAATAAACTACGCCTGTTATAGTGTCATAACAATGTCATGCTTGAATTGACCGCTCCGTGTTCACATCGAACAGAATGCTCGTGAAAATCAATCGAACACGCGGCGTTGCTTAAAAATGGACGTAAAAGCCAGTCAGGGAAGCGTGGATTTTAAAGACGTTGATTTTGATTTACTACATTGTAGGAGATTGGGATGGGGAAGATGTTAAACCCACTCAATTAATGAATATCCCTAGCTACTCAGAGTCTATTCAATGTGAAAAATAACGGCCGGTTTTCTGCCCCCCCCCCCTTAGTGCGTCGGACATCGCGGAAAAGAAGCTAAATGCCATGCCATTAAAAACGAGACAAAATGAATCATTAGCGATGAAATTATGGAAAGATTGGGCGGAAAATAGAAACCTGCAAGTATTAACTCACTTGGAAGGCAATCCCATACCAGAGGATCCAAAGGATTTATCGCATGATATGCTGGATTTTTGGCTCCAAAGGTTTATTTGTGAAATTAGGCGCAAAAATGGAGATCCCTATCCCCCCAATACACTAACTCAAATTGCTTCAGCAACACAGAGATATCTAAGAAATAAATGTGAAAAGGTAGATATTAATTTTTTAAGGAGGATAACCCTGTATTTGCAGGTTTTCAGAAAGATTTAGATTCTAGAATGAAGGAATTAACAGCAAATGGCATAGGAGTGAATGAAAAAAGATGCGATCCTGTAACGCGGGCAGATGAAGAGAAATTTTGGGATACCGGTGTTTTCTCTTTAGATACAGCCGAGGGGCTCTCAAATGCTGTGTTTTATTACAATGGGAAAGCATTTGGATTTAGGGGCATGGAATGGCATAAAAATTAAGATGCCGAACAGTATGAAATTAAAACCGATGCAGAAAATAAATTACAATACATTCAATTTACTGCAAGAATTTCCAAAAATGTACAAGGAGGTCTAAAACATTAAAACGTTGAAAATCAAATAGTAAAACATTACGAGCAACCGGAAAATACTCGATGTTTAGTGTTCCTATCTTGAAAGAAATAAGCAACATACTCGCTCCCCCCGAGCCCAAAAATGAAAATACTGGATCCGGACTGACTCGACGTTCAGAAACGGATGTAAATGAAGATGATTGCGTGTTTTTGTCTGTGCCGAAATGTATTAAAAAACTCGTTAGCTTCTAAAGATAAGATGCACTTTACTTTGAAACTGGATGGGAACCATTACATGAAAGAAGGAAAATGACTAGACTAACTACAATGTATAAAATTGATAAAAACCAAGTTTACATCCCTTTTCTCTCTGAATCTATTTTAACATTAAAAGACAAGTACTCTGTATGCATATTATTTCTCGGTAGCACGTTTAAACATTTCTTAGGTCTATACAAGTTTTTTTTTTCAGGGGCAAAACTTTATAGAATGTTGGAAAAGAAAACCCCTCCCCCCTTTTCACGTCATTTTCAAGGCCTTATTTGTTTGGACACTCCATATAAAATTTACGATAAAATTCCATAGAACTTCCAGAATGAAGTAAAAATTTCACAAATTATGTAACAATTTTGTCCAAACACACACCTGAATCAACGGGATTTTTTGAAGTCAAATGTTCATATCAGAAGAGTTTTCCTCAGTTACACTTAGGTCGCAAAAACGCCGTGTTCGAGGTTGCGCCGTCTGGACATACATTTCTTATAAAACATGTCTAATTTATTAAAAAATAAGATTTATGATTTATTGTTTATTCTTCCGATAGAAAAGATAATGCTAATTAGATATTTTAAAATTCATTGATGTACATAAATCGGTTTTAATTTTATGGCGCTAGTCCACGAACCTTTTGATAACCCCTCGTAAAAGCAAAGTTTAATACATTTTAATTTTTTTTTCAGAAACCAGACAATAATTTCTCCTTATATTGATTTATTTCTCTCTAAGAGCATGTTGAATTTTCTTCCTCATAAGGTGTGTTGCCCATATTATATGTATAGGGCCATTCTCTCTCTCTCTCTCTCTCTCTCTGTGCAAGAATACAATTATAAAAAAAAATAAGAGCCTTATTTGAATAAGATATTCATATTATGATATTAAACATTTTACAGTCCATCAAATCTAAAAAAAAAATATGCATCTAAAAAAATAATAATAATCTACTCTAGCTACAACATCAACACGTTGCCATCAGACACTGTATTGACTCAGGACCCCCGGCTTGTGAGGATGTACATGTGTAGCTATATGTATAAATGCATGTACATGTAGCAACATGTACATTATGATGCATTTTCTATTTATATGATAAAACGGAAATGAACTCTCTATAATAGCATGTATCATCCATACATTGTAAAAACAGAAACCTAGCTAGAATTGAAAAAAAATCTCCTCTATTTTTAAACAAATACATAGCTGTAAGTGCTTATGTACAAGTAATTTGAAACTGATAAAAACATTATGTGTGCCATATTTTTCTTCTCTAATATCAAACAGAAATCCAGCTCTATACATGCCAGTCACATACATGTGTACATTGTATCCCACTACAATTAAAAAAATAATAATAATAATTAAATGAATTAAGTTGAAAATAAAATGTTCTAATAAAATCAATTAAAATTAATAAATAATCTAAGTCATTTAAACTGCAATTTACTCACTTCTTCCATCTAATTTTCACATCTTATGTTTGGAAACTTTCTATTCTTCTGAGCGTGGATCCGAGTGCCTCCTGTTTAAGAAGGTTTTCAACGACACGCACATGTATAGCAAGATAATGATCAGAGAAAGTGCTCCGAAAATAATTATGCTCACTAACATTGCACCAGCTTGAGCTCTTACTCCTAGAAATGCCCAATAAGAGAAAGTTTGACATTTTCTATCTGTGAAAAATGAAGTTAGATAAGTATGTTTTCGATTTCTCTTTAATTTTATTTACTCCCAATTTAAACTTAATGCTAATTTAATCAAAAGCCTTAAACTGATAATACTGAGCATGAAAAAAACTTCAAAAAAGAGTCTTCATGCCTACTTTAAAGAAAGAAAAAACTTCAGGAATAAACTGCAAGCGTGTGTTTGTAAGCGTCAGTAAATAAGCTAAATTTATTTTGACGAAAAGTTTATTTTAAAAAAAATATTGAAACTTTGGAATACCCCTTTCCACACTTTTTGGGTTGTGTTTAGTCACTTTTAATATGTCAGAATATAAAGCAGATATTGAGGAGCTTCTCAAGTCAGCCTTCCAAATCTCAGGGGTGGAAACTGACGTAGCAATCTCTTGTGTAGTTGTCTTTGACAGATCTGAAACATTATAAATCACATGTGTAAAAAAAATTACGATTGTGCTTAATTATAAATCGTATTCAATTTGCCAAAAGAGGGGTACATTTTTTTTTCTGATATATGAATGAACATTTTAATTTTGAAATTCCGCTTTCCTTTCTTTTTTTAAATAATTTTATGTATAACAGAAAATATACTGGTTCTTTGAAGTATTTTCCTTATGCTTAATTACATGTAAGAGGTACGAAAAAAAATTCTGATTTATAATTTTAGTACTGTAAATCCCTTTTTATTCGCGAGAACTTTATTTTCGTGTAATTACGCGAGACAGTGTCCTCGCGAAAATTAAATTCTCGCGTGTAAAAGTATTCCTTAAGATTACATAAAACAATAACCACAATTCGTGAAAATTTTGTCTCGCTAATCAAGAGTCAATGACTATCTCGCGAAAATAAGGTGTCGCGAAAATTTAGTGATCTACAGTACAGTACCGACCAGACCCAACCTGACACCAAAACAGTCCCAGAAAGCAGTCCCCGGGACTGCTTTGGGACCCCTCTGGGACTGCTGTGGGACTGCTCTGGGACCGCTGTGGGACTGCTCTGGGACTGCTATAGAAAGCAGTCCCAGCAGTCCCAGCTGTCCCTGGGACTGCTTTCTGGGACTGCTTTGTTCACTCAGGTGTGAAAGAGGTTCTGAGTTACATGATAGCTCCGCCCCCTTGTGTATTCTGAATTTGCAGGCTCCCTGTTGTTTTGTTTACTTGCAGCAGAGAGGAGTTTAAACTATTAAAAAAAGCAAGGATTTCTTACAATCTTTTAATAACTTGAGATTACATGTATTATACTTAATTTATAGTTTTAGGGACTGTATATTTACACAAATGTAATATACATGTAGTATATTTTTAAAAATACAATGTAAAGTTGTTAAATAAGGAAATCAGGAGGAGATTTTTATTTCTAAAATAAACTACGGGCTCATGAGAAAAAATATCTATATGTAGGTTTATTTTATTATTTAATCTAAAATGAAATACTCAAAACTTGCATTTGGCACTATTTAAAAAATCATTTCATTTAGATATAAGATTTTTTAATTGAAAAGGCTACACGTTTTACAAGTACCACGCTAAAAGAGTATTCCATGCAACCCTCAAATAAAAATCTATCAATTTATTTTATGACATGAAATAAAATTATGCCACAATTGTTCCGTAACATAAGCAATTTAAACAATTATACGGGGATTTACAGATGAATTAGTTTTCAATTTATAAATAAGTTATTAAAAGGGTACATTTAAAAAAAATAATTAAATAAACAGTTAAAAATACCGGGAATTGTGATTTATTTCTTTTTTGTTTTGCTTTTGTTTACCTGGCCGATAATGTGTATAAATAAAATGGTATAAACACCTGCGGTTTCAATCGCCTTTGGACAGAAAATCAATCATGCATGTTATTTGGGTACACGTATCAGTGTTACACATCATTGAACATGCTTCTCAATTAACAATGACCCTAATTTCAATCTATGAAAAAATGTAATGCAAAAAAAAAAAAAAAAAAAAAAGATCAATGAAATGGGTATAAATTTCTTTCAAGATTATTATTAATGTTGAACATGATCTTAGGATTCTATACCTGTCACTAATACAATTTACAAATAAAACTATAATTTTTAAATTACCATGTCAGTAAAAATAATACTGAAAAATATTACTTGGCAAAATTAGCAACGAATTTTTCAAAAGCACTAATACTTAAAAAAATGCCTTTAGAGTATCCCGATAGTATGGATATCGGTCATGATCTATAATGATAAGATCTATTTAAAACTAATTCTGGTGAAATATAATTAATTCAATTCTAATTTTCTGTATAGAAAATAAGTATGGGAGCCAGTATCAATCACAAAAAAACCCAAGATAATTGTGATTAAATATTCATGTTCAGTGTAATTCATTTAAGTAGGTGTGTAAGCTTTCTTCCTTCAATAAATATTATTTTAAATTGTTTCAAATCTATGTGCGTACTGCTCATACATGTAAATGACCTTCGCATTGTTAGGATTCCTGGCATACTGCTCAGAAAAAAAATCACTGCCTTTTATAGTTCCATTGTTTATTGGAAATCTCATTTCTGAGTTAGCTTCGCCCATTGAATTAATAAACCCCGCCCCCTGGGACTGCTGGGACTGCTTTCTGGGACTGCTGGGACTGCTTTCTGGGACCGCTGGGACTGCTGGGACCGCTCTGGGACTGCTGTGGGACTGCTCTGGGATCGCTGCGGGACTGCTTTAGCAGTCCCAAAAAGCAGTCACCGGGACTGCTCTGGGACTGCTTTGTGTCAGGTTGGGTCTGGTCGGTACTGTATCTGAATATGTAAACAAGTATTTTTGCTGACAATAATTCTCTATGTTAATTATTGTGCAGAATTGATCAATATACTAGCACATCCTGTTGCTGGGTTGCAAATATCTTTAGTGCAGACACACTTCATCAGACAACCAGGGCCGTAATTGGGAAAGGTACACGAATGTTCACAGTAGATTCCAAAAAATCCTGCAGGACACTCTAAAGAAAATAGTATTTGAATTATATCAACAATTAAAGATTTGATAATGACAAGGTTTAAATATGAAAGCCTAAGCACCAACCGTTCAAAAGATATATGGTTAAGATAATTTTTAAAGTGGTTCAAACTACAAGGTGAAAGACAAACGGTCAAAACTTAATGTACGCATGGAAAGAACTTTTCATAAGAAATATGTATACATGCAAAATATAAATGCCCTAGCACCAGCTATTCAAGTTATGATCAAGTTTTTTAAAAGTTGATAAAACTCTACGATTAAGGTCAGAATTATTTTTACCCATGGAAATTAAGGACTTTTCAGGATGGATACAAGTGTGATTAAATATGAAAGCCCTAACACCAACCAACACCAAAAGTTAATTATGGCCAGTGCAAGGTTAAAGTTTGATTATTTCTTTTTTTAAAAGTGGGTCAAACGCCAAGGTCTGGTTAAATTTATCTGAACTAAAACATGCAAAAGGAAGATTGTTCGCAAGGAATATATAAATTAATGTACTTTTGAAATAGGGGAACAATTATAGCTCTAATCAATCAAACTATACGGGGAAACTTAAAAAGATTTTGCAGACAAGCAATTGTTAGACAGACATGGACATGGCAAAACTATATACAGGTAGCAAAAATAGTAAACCTGTTGTAAAAATACTATTATAGTTAACTCTGGTTGGATGAAGTTACCTATAGTAAATTATAGTTTCAATGTTATCGCTATTAATTGTAAATAAATGTGTTCAAAGAGACCACTATATAGTGTCTCAATTATCACTAATAAATCAAAGTTCTCAAATTATTACTCTACTGAATAAAAGTTTTTAAACTAATCACCATAGCAAACTAGAGTTTTCATAGCGATCACTTTAGCATTTCATTTTCTCGATAGATATCTCTATAGTGTCATAGTGATCACTGGAGTAGATCAGAGTTTTCAAAGTCATCAAAATAGAAAATCAGTTTTAAATTTATCACTATTGTTAGCAAAAGTTTTCATAGTACTAGACCACAAGTGTAAACGTTCCCACAATAGTTAACTGTAGTAAACTATAATTAACCACAGTATTATTAACTTTAGTTTTTTATATAAACGTACGAATGAATGGGAACGATCAAGTTTGTACTAGATGGTAGATCTGACCTGCATTTCCCGGAGTTACGATGCAGGTTAAAGTCTTTGATGCAAATGTATCTTCATAGTTCTATAACCAATACAATACCTCAAACAAACTTGCACTTATCCTCTTGGGAGGAACACTCCCATAATTTCTACTGATTCTTCAACTCACCTGCACATGTTTTGAATGTAATTGTACATGTATAAAAAAAATGGTCCGGCCTTGTCACTTATCTTGACAATGGAACTCAGATCCACATTTACTACAAAATGTGTATTTTCCAGATGAGTGACAAGGTTTCAAATTTTGAAGTAGATCTTTTCCCAAAGTAACTATCTTTCAGTTCCACCTTGACCATTACCTGGACCACACTTTTTTCATTAATGATGAATTTTGCAGTTGCTGAATCTGACTGGCATTGTCCCGATCAATGACAAGGACACAGTCTTTGATACAAATCCATTCCAAAAGGCCTACATGGCTTACTTTGGATGCTGGATTTTACCTAATGCTTGTTTAGATACAGTTTTTAACATTTGCTATTTAATCAGAGGAGAAATACAAATTTTTGCACCTTACGCAATATTGACGTGAAAATGCAACAGTTATAATTGTAAAACCTAGTCAATTTTCGCAAATTCAGAGGTCCGAAAATAAATAATCTAAAAAGGATTTAAGATTTAACTACCGGTAATTGACTACCTATTGCATGTTCATGTACATATATATAGTAAACACAACTAGACTTTATCAAATTTCAATGAAGAACGGGATGGACAAATTAAAAGAAAATAATTACCAGAGCGTGGACATCCTTTACTGGAATCACAATCAGATTCTGGACAGATACATTCTGATTGACACAAAAGACCAAATGAAGGATATCGGCATTTCAAAGAGCAATTTTCTCCCCAGAAGCCTAATTCACATGCTGTTAAAATCAAACGTATATTAAACAAAGACAGACATACAAATCATCATTATTCATTTAATTTTACCTCCTCCCATACCTACATCTCAAAATTCGTCAAACACAAATGTGTAATGAAAATGATTAATAGATGAGAATATAATGATATTCCGGTCAAATCAAATCATAAACTCATACGAAGTTTGTGAAATACAATTACAGTATAACAAATTCAATATGAAACAGTTAAAAATGAATATGAAACAAAATGAATTTCATAATATAAATACACAAATTATGAGTGAAGTTAAAGTATTGCAAGAAGAGGATATGTCAATGTACAGAAACATTTGTAATCAGTTAACACATTACACATAAATACGTATACAATTAGCAGAATACCCTTGTTATACAAGAATTACAGGAAAAGAAATACTATTATATGCTTTATATATTGAAATTACTGCATTACGTAATGAATATCTACAAAGCAAGCATCAAAAGCTATGTGATAAGTGTATTTTCACAAAAATCGACTAGTGGCAACAGGAGAGGTACAGGACCGACCAGTAAATCAACGCATCTATCCTACCAAGCTCACACCATACATGTATCATACGCCAGTAGTACAACTAGAAAGGTTTTCAGATAAGGCACAAGAAAGCAAACGTAATGAGAAACTAACAAGTTACAGCAAACACTATTAAAAAAGGCAAAATAAAGCATTATTATTTATTTGTTTTCTTCAGTTGAATAATGTAGCAGTAAGGTAAATGCTGGCATTAAGGGGGCAATCAGTTCTTTTTGTTACCAGCCCATGGAAGTTACAATGCATATCATGTTTTCACAAATACATGTGTAATGCTGTAATTAAAAATTATTACATGCGCTAAATAATCAGGTCCCAAGAACCTAATCTAAAAGAGACTCAAGTCATAACTTTGAGTTTATTGAAATAACTTTTAAATTTAAACATGTGATGAAAAGTTTGATTCATTATCAAAATTATTTCAAAAGTTCGAAATTTTGACTTAAGTCTTGGGGCCTGGTTCCGTGTTACAATTTGTACCAACCCAAGCAGGTAACAAAATCTTTTCTAATCAAACAACATCCAGTATTATCAACCAAATTAAAGTAGGTGATAATATGGTACATAATTTATTTTTCCAAAAGCTAAACTTCAAAAGAATATCTTTCTATTTCATAGGTACATACAAACTTAATTTTCAACCCACATAAAAATGGAATAAATACGTATTGCAAATAATAAAATTGAATGACATTTCATTATTTGCAATGCATATTTATTCCATTTTTATGTGGACTGAAAATTAAGTTTGTATGTATATATGAAATAGTACCTGTCAGTATTTTGTTAAACTTACGAACACATGACGTTCTCTCTAGATTCCATTGATAACCGTAGCAACAGGTCCTATTTAAAACAATCGTTCAATTTTATTAGAAAATAGAACGTTAAACTTTAATGATTTTTAACATAATTTAGGCATTTAATTTTAAAATACACATTGCTGTTTTGCTTTTCTGTCAGATAGCTTTAGAAAATTTATACCTACCCATTACAAAGTGAGTTGTTTATGCCGCATATTTCCGATATCCATAATTGCACGTTAAGAATAACCGAAAATAATGTCATCATTTTAGCAAATTGCACATCCATCATTACCGTTGTAAATTAAAAAATCAATATGGATATGTGCAATGTAATGAATCAGTTGTTTGAACATGTATGTTACTGTTTCCTTGAAATTCTTATAACGGAATTTTAACTTCCTATATGTTTATTTATAAAAGGTATTATATATTAGTTTCCGTTCTGAGTTTATCATTTAACGGTTTCGGAAATAAATACAACAAACACATATTATATACTTTTTTACTTCAATTGTCAGAGTTACTGAAATGAAAATGGAAGAATATTTTTCTTTCATGATATTCCATTGTAGAAGATCAATAAAGAGTGATCTGGTATGAAACACAGTTTTAAATCAATATATGCTCAAGTTTAGATTTCTTATAATTATTATATACAAATATATTTAAAAGTAACATTGTTTTACTGTTCATGAATATCTTTTCTGAAACAACATTTAATATAGGAACTTACATATCTTTATTCTTTTAAATTTTTTTTTACCTCAAATGTTTATTTTAAATATTAAGAATATGAGAAAAACATAAATGTAATAAAAACTTATTGAGAAACATTTCTAGACAAGCAAATTGAATGTTTACCTTTTCCGAAGTTTACTCCATTTTACAGTGGATGTTATTCATATAGGAAACATTTCACAGAATCTTTATTACATAATGCCATTGTGCACCTCCTATTTTACTTTTTGATCCAACACATATTTTGAGTTTTCCACAGCAAAACATGGGCATTGCCATTATATTCATAAGTGAGGTGGAGGGTATCATTTAGTGAACTCATTGATCACAGTACCTAGTTATTAATTAAATTGATACATGTATGAGGACAAACTTACAGAGAATAACTTACCAGAGCGTGGACATCTTCTACTGGGATCACAATCAGATTCTGGACAGGTGCATTTTGATTGACACAACAGACCAAATGAAGGATATCGGCATTTAAAAGAGCAGTTTTCTCCCCAAAAGCCTAATTCACGTGCTATGGAAAATAAATCAGACACCTTACATCTCTTTTTCCATAACTTTTTGTAAAAAATATTTAAATACAATTAACACGTTCATTTTCACAATTACATGTAAATGTCATACTATTGCGTAGTTCATTTAACATACATTGCATATTTACTTGAAGTGGATTTTCTTTTTTATATAAAGAGTAAAGAAAGCATTAGAATTTAATAAGCACATACAGTGTATATTATTTTTTGAAACTTACGAATACATGATGATTTGTCTTCATTCCATTTGAGATTGGTGCAATATTTCCTATATAAACAA